ACCCATGACCGTGAGGGGGAAGACATTCAAATTACAGTATCTGATATATGTTTGAAGCTCAGACAAAATAGTTTCAAGTATTGCTTGGAGCATACTTAAACTAAACAATTACACATGTTTTATCAGAAAATCCAAATTTAATTCTGAATTACACGTTTTTGTATGCCACAACTAGCAAACCTCCTCTAGGCAAAGAGGTAGACAGGATGCCTAGGGGCACTGCCCCTGGAAGCTGTAGCAGAAACGGATTAAAGCAGAACAAGGCACAGACTTTGGAGGACAATATCTTATGATGGCCAGATTTGTTTCATGGAAGTGATAGCCCAAACTTTTTGGTTACAAGACACTCAATCCATCAAGTTAGCCTCCAACTCAGAGTCACACTTTGTCTGAGAGAGTCTGGGAAGTGGATTCTCCGTGGTACCATTTCCTAATTCCTACACCTGCATCTGTCCATCCATCAGCATCAGGTCTCATGGCCTCTTCCTTATCATCCCGTCTCCATCTGCCTGCTCTGTCTGAGAACTTCTCTGTCTCTGTAGAATCCTCCCAGGACTCCTGGTCATTCCCCTCTGTCTGCCATACCCAACCTTGGTCAGATAATTCCTCCTTTGCTGGGGCTCTCATCTAATAGGGGGTGTGGGTCGAGGCACTGTAATTAACCGATACTTGCCTGCATGATAAGCCAGTGCATGTTTCTTCCTGAATCCTTTCTCTTTGCCTGTGATCAAGCATGTTTCAGACTAATTGCTCCCGAGTAGCTCATATGAACAAGAAAGAACTCACACCCCAAGACTCAGGTTGATCATACACAATGCAATTTTCCCTGAAAGATAATCTCTACTGCCTCATGTGCCCCAGCATCACTCCCGCGTGACAAGTGCTTGTGCACTGGTTTACAGTGTTCTGCTGAAAAGAAACATAGCAGACACAGTTTAGAATAATCCAGAGCCAAGCGACATTACCAATGGGTGAAATGAGACAATGCCATTTGCCTTTCACCTCTTGCTTCAGTTTTTGGAAAATTGTCCCCAGCGATTGCAGAGGATTTGCATTTTTGTTGGCTTGGGGACAGGAGTTGGCAGTGTCGAGTGGTTCCTTGCTTAGAGCCACGTCACTATTTACGTAGCAGGCATAACAAGTCAGAGAAAAGAGCGTTACAAGGAAACTTCTTAGAATGCTTGTGATAAAAGGAGACAAAAAGGGAACAGTTGCTTGTTTATAAACATGACGAAAGAAGAAAGGGACAGTGTTGCCCTAGAGTCACAGACTTTGTGACTCCTTATTACATAATTTATTAAAATGACAAGTCTCACATTCTATAAGCCTGAATGTGGTTCTTTTCTACCACATACATCTACTCCTGTTATTAACTGTAGTCCCAACAGCTTCTCCTCAATGGCTCATACTCTGGGGGATGTTTGATACTGGAGCTGTCTAGAGTGACAAGACACTCAGAGAATTTTTGCAATTTCAGTTAAGAAGGTATATTCAGGAGCTTATATAAAATAAATAGTTGTATCATTGCCCAAAAATATATAACTTTACTAATAATGTTCAGTTCAGCTCTTGGGATCCACCTGTCTCAGCCCATTAGGTTATATATACTAAGCCACACCTAACTTTTTTATATGGGTGCTAAGGGTTTGAACTCAGATATTTATGCTCGCAGAGTAAGCACTCTTACTGACTAAGCCATCTCCCCATACCCCTGACTTTAACCCAAAGGGGAGCAAACAGATGTATGCATGGGAAAGACTGGTTCACAAAAGCTTAGTTCTTGGACAAGTCACAGGGATGGTTAGTGGTCCCTCTGGATCTTTCTCCTTATGTGCAAAATTGGACTAAATATGTGTTGCCCTGAACACCACGCAGGTATGGTTGAAAGATACATGTCATTATGTCTGTGACAGTTCCCAAGTGCTGATATAGGATATACACAATCATAGTTCCAAGTGGGGGAACACTTGTGATGTACAACTTCATTGTCAGAACACTGCAGAAAGCAGGGTCACTGTCACTCTTGAACGTGGGAAAGTTAACTCACCACCCACGCCTTTAGTCCAGTGAGCTCTAGACACCTCCTCCCTGCCATTTACCACGAAGTGGTTGTCAGGGCTCATCGTGGGCATTAGTCCATGCACCTGGAGTCAGAACATCAGAGATTTTGTCTTTGCTTTTAAATCGGAGGCAATGCATTAAAACAATGGAGGTTTTTTTCTTTCCTGTTTTATTTTTTATTGTTTTTAAAATAATTTTCCCAAAGATAGAATTTTACTATTTTTTTTTTACATTGTAGTTCTCATTTTAAGGAATGAGTTCATGAGAAAATACATTTATCCAAAACAAGGTCTCAGTCTCTTGGAGGGGGGATTACTGGGAATTGAACCCAGTGCCTTCCACGCACAAGACAAGCATTCTACTGCCAAGGTACTCCCTAGGCTAAATAATGTCTTTTTTGAGTGTCTAACACTGACTGGCTCCACTTTTTCTTACTTGTGATTGTATAATTTTTAAAAGGTCAATTCTCAAAATACTGAATTTAGGTATAGTTTTTCTTACAGTCTTTTTATGAGAAGTATGAATGAAAATTTTGCCCCATTCAGACTTAGTGGCTCTTTAGACCAATAACCTAAGTGTGGACTATGGAGCTCTGTCTTTCGGACGGATGCTCAGTTCGCTAATTTCTTGTGACATTTTCGAAGAACAGTCCACCATTTCACTGTGAAATATATCGCTTTTCTTAAGTGTCAGTGGGGAAGAGGATGAGAAATCTCCTACTCGAAAAACTGTCCTCATTCTTTCAACTCTGACCGTGATTTAAGAAGTTCTTAGTGATCAGCTGGCAGTACCCACCTGGCCACTCCTTCCTCTCCCCCAGTGACAATGTGAACATGGAGAACTTCAGTAATTTATAAGAAAATCTCATTCAACCAAAGAAAAAGAAAAAAGAAAAAGAAAAGAAACAGGGGCATGCTGTTTGCAAGGAACAGTTGGAAATGGAACTCAATGAACGTGTTGTACGAAATAAGCCAGTCTCTCACACGTGTGTCTCACATGTTTTCCCATGTTGGGGGCAAGGGTAAGAAAGTAAAAGGCAGACTGGTTAAAGAGAGCTGGAGTAGTGAGTGGTAAAAAATGGGAACAGAGGAGGTGGAGGTAATGTTGTAATGAAACCCATCACTGCTGTGTACAACTAGTAGATGCTAATAAAATAGGAAGTTTAAATGATTTGGGTAGATTATTGCATGTGTTCACCTCATTGTTAAAATATCATTTCTAGGGGATCCACACAACAACAGAGTAAGCCAGAAGATGGCGTTGAAGATTAGTAATCATGTCTTTTAAACAAGATAGCCATGTGAAGTCGCAGAAGGTTTCTTGTAATGACTGTTGTTTTAAATTTCTGAAAACAGAGGATGTGGATGGTTGAGGAGAATTTTGAAACCGTTTCAGCCAAGGCAGAGGACACGTGTATCAAAGTTAAAAAAAAAAAAGAACAAAAAAACCCTTTGCTGTTTCTGCCCTTAGCAGTCTCTATCTGTGCACACTTTGAAGAAGAGTAACTCCTCGGCAGCAATGCTGTGCTATCTGAAGCTGCAATCTCTGCTTTGCTCCGACATGTGTCTCTGGTGACCAGGATAGTTCCCGACAGATAGAAGGTGTTCAAAGAATATTTTTTTTGAATGAGTTGAAGCCCCAAAGGAAGAAGAGGGGAAAATAGGTGTGACCAAAATTTTCCTTGAACGAAACCCTCTTGTTTACTACCAGGGCTCTGACGATGGAAAACTTATTGGGGTGAAATAACAACGACATGGCATCCTGTTAATTTCTGAGAAAGCCTGTTAGTGTTAGGAAAAACAACATGCTGGTGAGCATCTCTGCGCTGGTTTTCCTGTGGATGAAACTAGATGTTTCTCCTAAAGTCCAGAACCCAGGATCTCAGATAAAAAGAAAAACTGAGAGACATGTGAAATGAAAAAACCTTTACAAACGCTCCAAGTTGACCTGTGGTGGTGGCAATCTAAAATCATACAGAAACTGGTGGTCTGTCTGCTTACCTGAAAGCACCAAGTGAACTATATATGCTCCAGGCGTCCAAGCTGTGCTGGAGAAAGTCAGCGGTGAAAGCTCCTGGAGTTAAATATGAAGGTCCAAGAAAACATGAAAATGAAGTAAAACTTTCAGTCAACCTAGCTGTTAGTTCGATTTGGGGCATTAGTACTTCGCCTGCAACTGCCTCCCACATGGTGGAGGTTAAAATTATCATTTTTAGGTGAATTGCCATCAGGAAGCGCTAACTACCTGACTACTCAGGGATCCCCCATCTCTTTTATGTTGCCAAATTGAAACTTTGGGGGATGTGCGTTGTCTGAGTCATCTCAATTCGCCGGTTTCATTCACCCAGCGTGTATAAGCGGTTCAAACACAGTATTTGGGCCATGGTTTATAAACGTGCCTTTCTATTTTTCTTTTTAGTGAGCGTGATATTCTCTAAACGCTCTGAGAGACATGACTCCGCTTTACCCAAGGATGCTCCCACCTCTTTCTTCTATCACATGTTGTGAGAACCAAGACCCCTGGGCTCAGGACGCTTAGTCACTTCCCAACCTGGCCTGGCCAGTGGACTTGAGCGGTTACTAGTTATCAGGTACCCTCAGTGCAGATTCCAGTATCTCCTCTCCCCCATCCCCCTTGCATGGCTCCACCTTCACAGGAACGGGCCATACGGATTCCTATCAGGCTGAGGATTTCTGAGTGCGTCTGAGTCTCCAGCCCCCTCCACAGGTTTGTCTTCAGGGGGACAGCCCTTGACCCGGTGGGCTCTAGTCCGAAGCTCTTGCTCCTGCGGGACACCCAGGCACAAGGCAGGAATAGAGGGCGGTCCTGGGTATAGGCGAGCCACGCCCTCTCTCAGGCGGGGCCGCTGTGCCCGCCCAGCACTCCGCCTCCAGCTCTATAAAGTTCCTCTTTCTCACCTCGCTTTCCTAGTTTCACCACTTGAACTTGGGAGCCTTTGCTGCCCTCAGCTCAGAGTGCGGGTGAGGTAAGGCCTGGAGTCTGGCAGAAGGAGGAGTGTGAGGCTGGTGGCAGAGGAAGCTTGGCTTCCATCTCTGAGCCCGAGTCCCCCGAGGGAGCGTGCGTAGATAGCGGACCCAGGCTCAGCTCCTCTACGCTGCCCCAGGACGAGTGCACAGCGGGTTCTGTATGAAGCTGCTTGGGCGGGCGTTCCAGAACATCCCCCACAGGCTGGGCGGGACGAGCTAACGGGACTGTGGTGTCTTCAAAGGATCGCACTGGCCGCAGCTTGTCTGCAGGGGAACAGTCTCTGACTCTCTGCTCCAGTCGAAAGATCCTTTCCTAGCCCTGGTTCGTAAAGGACCCAAACTCAGCTAGGGCTCCAGCGCGTGATTCCTAGGCCAGACGACCAAGGAGAGCTGAGAGCTCCAAACTTGGGGTGCTCAGAGCCCCTTCTCCCACGCCCTTCTTCACTTCTCGCGCAAGGGTGCTGGTGTTGCTGTCCACAGCACCCCTCATTCCCAGCCTCGCCTTTACTCCAGCCAGAGTTCACGCTGACCCTCTGCAGGTTCGAGTCTCCTGTTTCTTGGCTGTGCTGCTCGCCCCATAACCAGACTTCCACTTGTTGCTTCCAGGACCCACGTAATGATCTCTGGTTGGATAGGCCTGGCGTTATTCCGGGGACAAAGTAAAAGTATCATAGAAGAAAGTCAAAGGAGTGAGCTGGGGTACTGCACGCCTGCATGGCAGGGACACAGGACCTGGACAAGGGCTAGTCCACGTGCCAGGTCCTTCTCGCCTGGGGCCGTCAGGGCAACTTGAATCCAGGAAGGGGCGAGCATACAAATAGAATGAGGGGAAAGTGGGATGAAAGCTACTTGGGGCTGGCAGACCGGGAGAGTAAGCAAAAGGGTCGCCCCAGCGTGGCGCAAGACTTGGGGTCTGCAGATAAGTTGTGTATCTAGGAGCTTTCAACGGAGTGCATTAAGACTGTAGACAGTGAGTGGAAGATGGGGTGAGAGGAAGGACATTTGAGGATGGTGCGCGCCAAGGGATGCTCCCCACACATTCGTCAAAGTACCTTCTCTTGGGGGGACTCCGGAGACACTGGCACTGCACGCGAGCACCTGGCAGCCTCAGAGACTCCGGGGCCTTGTGGGCACTGCAGGAGTTTGGGACGGGGCTCCCCCAAGAACGATGCCACGGTGGCTGCAGGGAAGGCTTGTCTCCCCGCAGCGCACGAGCCCGGGAGGAGGTTGGCACGCGTCATGAATTTGGAGACGGGCAGCCGGGGCTCAGAGTTCGGCATGAGCGCAGTGAGCTGCGGCAACGGGAAACTCCGACAGTGGTTGATCGACCAGATCGACAGCGGCAAGTACCCCGGGCTAGTGTGGGAGAACGAGGAGAAGAGCGTCTTCCGCATCCCGTGGAAACACGCGGGCAAGCAGGACTACAATCGTGAGGAGGACGCCGCACTCTTCAAGGTCAGCTGCATTCAGGATCCCTGGGCAGGGATGCGAGGTTGGGAGGGGTAGTCTGACAGCTCTGGATGTGCTGTGGCTCCAGGGCAAGGGACCAGGAGGTCAGGAGGGCTCTGCAAGGAGACCAAAGCATCAAGGAATGGGTCCTACTTAGCAGAAGTTCCGGGAGCAGGGAAAGAGGTTGCTAGCTCTCCGTGTCTTACATACAGGGAAACCAGGTCCCAATACTAAGTTTGGAGGAAAGACCTTCCAGCTCCAGGAGCATCTCTGCGCCCCCCACCCCTGAGGTTCCGGTTGCATAGCCCATTCGCTGTTTCCTGCCACTGCCACCACTGACTGCTAGGATCAGTCACTGCTTCCCTGTCTCTGTTTTGCTACTTTTGAGTTTTTCTCTCTGGGTTTTCTTTCTATGATTGGGCTCCTATACTGTCTGGTTCTAGTTCTGGAAGCTGTGATCTCTGTTTTTCTTTCTTTGAGTGGCTTTGACTATTCCAAGTCTTTCTCTGGGAGACCCCTCTCACCCCGTGTGAGTCCCCAGAGAGCTGGCTCACTGAACTGTGAAGCCCCCAGCCTCCACCTGCCAGCAGGGCCGAGGAAGGGGACTTCCTGTGGGAATTTGTTCAAAGTACCTCTGTGATTTTGTAGATGTCCCAAGTCTTGCCTACACTCGATTCAGGCACTGGGTGTGTAAGGGCCATATGGGGTCTCTCTATCATCTCACCATAGAGTCCTAGGTGAGAATCATATTTCAGGCAACAGCAAATTTGAAACAGCAGCCTTCCTTTCTGAAATGCTATCCATAGAATTCTTTTGAAGATCTGGGCTTGACTTTTCCTTCTCTCCGTTCTTAGGCTTGGGCACTATTTAAAGGCAAGTTCCGAGAAGGGATCGACAAACCAGACCCTCCTACCTGGAAGACAAGATTACGATGTGCTCTGAACAAGAGTAATGACTTTGAGGAACTGGTAGAGAGGAGCCAGCTGGACATCTCTGATCCATACAAGGTGTACAGGATCGTTCCAGAGGGATCCAAAAAAGGTAAGGGATTCCTAGCAGAGGTCGAAGGACAGACACATTATGACACTCACAGAGCCCTACTCCCTAGAGAAGGTCACGGTCTACCTCTGCCCAGCAGTCTCTGTTTCCATGCTGTCTCGGTTATAAGTGACAACCCTGTGGTGTTAGTATAGGATGGCCTCTCAGACTTTAAGCCCCATGCGTGTGTGGGTATGCACTTGAAAACGTTATTTTCATTTACTCCATTCAGTTAGGATATGGGTCAAATTTCCAAACAAAAACTGGAAAATCCACTAAAATTTTCCTTACCTAATATCCTCTAGTAATTAAGCATTTTAAAGAGGAGAAAGCACACCACACATCCCATACATATTCACATTTCTTGTAATAAAACTGCTAGAGCTTCTAGTTTAACATGGCCTGCTAGGGCAGTTATGAATATTGAGATCTAGAGTTCTGTCTCTTCAAAATTCCAACTAGTCTATCTACAGCAGAGCCCAGGAATCTGCACTTGGTTCCAATCATACAGGATGCCTTAGCTAGGTATCATCTCACTACCAGAAACCACTTGGTGGATCACAGGGCCCTGGGTGGTGTTTCCTTCCCTGGGTGTTGCTCACAAGTCAGAGCATGTTTAATCAGTTTAATGGAGTAGACAACTATCTCTGTGAGGGAATTGTTTGAAAAATAAAAACAAAACAAACCTAAAACATCCAATTGGTTAATATGGGTATGCATTCTAAGAATTAAGTTTTGGGTACTTTTATAAGATTTAAATCAGTTCCTTGTTTTACTCTGTGTTCTTTCTTCCTTTTTCCCCAAACACACAGGAACAAAACAGCTCACTCTGGAAGACACACAGATGGCCATGGGCCACCCCTACCCCATGACAGCACCTTATGGCTCTCTGCCAACCCAGGTATGTGGTAGACTCTTGGTCTTGTGGAAGGCTGGGCTGTGTCCTTTTGGCTGGCTCCACACAAGAGACAAACACAAATGAAAACTGTAGGGCTGACTTCCTATTTGCTATGGCTGGTACACACACTGAACAAAAACCTGGTCAGAGAAGGATGTTTCAGTTCCAGTGTGGTGTCCCTGTCTCTGATGCCATGGTTAAGTGGGGGAGTTGGATGTGTCCCACCTGTTGGAGACAGGCTTCCACTGATGGTCAGATCTTCTGGGAATCAGACCTTTTGTGGAAGTCAAAGGTTTTGGAAGTAGTACTTTATCATGTGAAACCACAGGGCAGCTGACTTCTCTAGGCTTCCCTGATGTGAATTACAGTACTGTTTGATTCACTTTGGTGGCTTAAAAGGGGGCAGATTTCACTGTGGTATTCTTGGTGCCATGCTCGGCCATATGATGAAACCTTTAAAAAGTCACGGCTTGACACAATGTCCCCATTGTGCTTTCAGACCCTCTTTGGCTGTTTTCTACCTAGTGTGATGATAGACAGTCCATGTCATTTTGGGGGCAAAATGACTTGACTGCTGGACAAAAAAGGGTTCCCTGAGGAGTTTGGGTGATATGACAGGACGCCAACACCCACTGATGTCTTCCTCTGAGCAATCACTGTGCTCTGTCAGCAGGTTCATAACTACATGATGCCACCCCATGACAGGAGCTGGAGGGATTATGCCCCTGACCAGTCACACCCAGAAATCCCATATCAATGTCCTGTGACGTTTGGCCCACGCGGCCACCACTGGCAAGGCCCATCTTGTGAAAATGGTAAGGATTGTGCCAGGGTAGCAGACAGAAGAACAACCTGGGCTCTGGGTATGGGCAACACCACAGGGCTTTCCCCTTCCACTGAGATACCAGCGACACATCACATGAAGCTGCTGGTAGTGGTGGTGGTAGCAGGGTTGGGGGGGATGTTGCCTTGTCCTGTGAAACGTTGAAGTCCTCAGAGCCATGATAGGCAATTCTCTGTGTGGGAACTTAACTAGAAGACCTCAGAGATCATTCCAAGGAGCTGAAAAGTGCCCCATTTTTAATACATAGAGATAAACATGGATGACCATAAGCTCTCAATGACAGTAGATGTCAATTATAAAACTTGTCTATATTTTGTTTTAGTTATTTGGGTAACATGTTTTTACTTTCCAAAACATTTATCCTGTCTTTGTCCCATTAGAATAGATTTTGTCAGTCTTCCGTCTGAGTTGTCCCTTATTGGAGAGCCATACTATCTCCCTAGTCTATGTCTTTCTTCTCTCCTATAGACAGCTGTGCCCAGCCTGCCTCAGCAGGGACTTAGGGAAATCATTGCTAGTTCATGTCTCTGAATACTAATGAGTCATTTGTAGCTGTTCTTGGTACTAAGAAAGGATCAGAGCGAAAGTGTCCACAAAGTATCTCTACAAATGAGGGTCTGGCTCCGAAAGACCCATAGGGGTCCCCCAGATCAGCACGAACAAAAGAAACACCAATTAACCAGACATAGGAAATTTCACAAACAATGCTCAGTGAGACTTGGGTCCTTTAGTATTTATTTAGGTGAGTGCGCTGAGTTACATCCCAGTGCTTTTTTTGACTGTGCATTTTAAAGTAGAGTCTTGCTAAATTATCCAGGCTAAATTGCTCTTTGACTCTCCTGCCTTCAACTCTTGAGTAGCTGGGATTTCAGGCCTGTCCTACCAGGCTGGGAATAAAACAAGCTTTTAGGACTTTCAAGTTCATCATTTAAATACAAGTCTTGACATGGGTCACCACTCAAGTAGTCCTTTTATATTAATCTGGAAATACTTTCCTTGTCACAATTTCACCAACACCCCCCTCATTCCATTCATGCTTACACTAATCTTACTTTAGTGTGACATAACTTCTGTGCTGCCAGGAAACGTGATTCAGCACCCCCTCCCCACCAAACTTACAAACATCGAGCAGAATAAATGAGGATTAAATAATTAATTCATTTTTTAACCAGCCTTATAGAAGTTTGAACTCTGACCCTGCTAGTAACTTGCTGTGTGAGCTGGTGCAAATCCTTCTCCTTCTGGGCCTCAGTTTCCCTGTAGATGAGTTTTGGAGAGCACCAGGCTTCCATCCAGAGCTGTACTGTGGCTCCTTCCTCATCACCCTGAATTTTTCTCACTGGATGTGGACTTTGGCCTTTGCCTCATAATCAAATGCTCTGCTGTCAGCAGATATTTAGAGGCTGTCAGGCTTGGGTAGGGAAGGTGACTGGCCATGGCCTTTCACAACTCAAGAGCCTCCCTGCACTCGGACTATCTACTTAGACATCATCTGATTTTTATTTGCAAATGCAGGTTGCCAGGTGACAGGAACCTTTTATGCTTGTGCCCCACCTGAGTCCCAGGCTCCCGGAATCCCCATTGAGCCAAGCATAAGGTCTGCTGAAGCCTTGGCGCTCTCAGGTGAGTGTGGCGCTTCCTATAAAGCTTTGAGGGAGGTGACATCTTTCCTCTGCTTAGGTTGGATGGGGATTTAAACTCTCTCTCACCTTGCAGCCCCCTGGGTCTGGAGTAGGCATGGCCCAGGCTATGTGGACATCACACTGAATAAAGTACACTATTAGAAATCTCAGCAGTACTAGCTAGCCAAACACTATTTGGATGACGTCTTTAATCGTCTTCATCATTACCTGCTCAGCTTTCCAGGAATGTATAGCCAGGCTCCTTCTGACATTGTCGCAGTGCAGAAAGACTTTATAGGCACAAAGGCTTTTCCTTTTCAAATGCTGTTTGTTCTGTTTGTGTTGGCTACAAACAAGTGGTCCTGAACTGCTTCCAGGGAACACTGGTTTTGGACCCTGGTCTCTGAGAAGTTCTTATGCCCCTAAAGGACCATATAGCTCTGACTTCCTCACAACTTTGATAGAATTGCTGAGCATGCGTGGATTTGACCTGATTTTAAAGTTCTGTTACTAAGGAAGCCTGCACCTGGAGATACTGACCAGTTTTAAGAAAGCCCACACTCACTTGAAGCAGATATCTTATGTTCATTTAGTCTTTAGATGATTTTTTTGAATGTTTTCAAACAGGATTATTAGAACTCTCAGCATGCCCTTGGCTACCTTAAAAGTCTATGACTGAAAACATCAACTATATTTTGACAAATTTAGACACTTCCCTTGTTCTCGAGAGAGAAAGAAGTTTTTACAATCTAGTTCCTTCCAGTTCTGATGTTCACGGAGATTTTGGGAACCATTCAAGAATAACCGAGGGACACTTCTGAGCATCAGGGTTTGTCACAAACACTAGAAAGCTCCAGATCCTCTTCTGGAACACCTAAGACTTAATGTGGGTGCCCTAAGAGTGGGAAATAAATAGCTATTTATAGCTCTGCAATCTTGTGATTCTGGTGACGTTAAATGAAATGAAACCTGCTCTGCCAGTCACCTCAGATGGCCAACGCCCCCTCTTTTTGGGTATACCACTTGACTTGCTGTTTATAGCTGCAGACATAGAAGACATCATGATGTGGGCTATCAGCACTTGCCATTGAAGAATACGAGGCTTTTGTGGGTTTCTTCTTCTGGTTTGCATAATTAATTATCAACTCTGAGCGCACTTTTCAGAAAGCTGTTCTTTCCAGGCATTGTTTGGGCTCCAGCCACCACCACAGGTATCTGTCTCTGCCTGGGAAGCCCTGGGCACACTCAGCTTGCCCTTTCAGCCTGTGGGTGGTATTTTAAAGTGGTTTCTGAAATCAACAAAATCATTTGTCAACAGATTCCTGTCTTAAAGCTGTAGAAAACACAGTTGTTGTGTTCTTTTCAGAGTTGAACACTAAGTTTAGAGGGGTTTCAGGAGATTTTACATTAACCACTGGCTTTTAGAACATTTCTCATCAATTCCTTCCCCTAGTCCAAGAAAGCTGACTTAAGAATAAGAAAATAAAAGTATCATTTTCCAGAGCCCAGAAATTGTCTTTTTAGTGCCTATCTCTGACATATCGATGTGAGTTTTGTTGTTGTCGTTGTTTTGGTTTTACTTAGTGACATCATGGTAACACTTTAGGGAAGGAAAGTTCCAGAGCTGAAGACACATTTGTTTTTCTTCTGAGATGTCTCTGTATTTCTTTTACTAATAGAAATCAGTCTTAGAGTTCAACTCCAAAATCAAAATTGAGTTTCTGGAAGGTGAATTCCAATTTAGTAGTATTGTTTCAGATTGTAGACAAAATGCCACCACTATTAACACTGTTATGAAGCAGAGGTGCTTTCTAATAAAATTTGGCTGAAAATCCAAGAAATATATACCCCTCCTTAAGACGAGTAAATGGCCACAGCAACATTTGAAAATGACCACGGTAGAGAAATCAGCTTCTTTCCACGAGCTTCTCTTAGTATTGAATGTGCTTGAGGTCTAAGAATGTATAGGGAACAAGGGCAGCTAACATCTCCGAGACGTCCTTGGCCCTAGGATCTTTCACTTGTTCATGGAGCATCTTGATACACAGGTGTTCCACCTGCTGTACTTCCTATCAGTCCAGTCACTGAGTCTTTGGGGCTCTGAGCATGATGGCACCTGTCTCAAGTCCATCAGCACTGACTCCAGAATTTTGTTCACAGACTGCCGGCTGCATATCTGCCTATATTACCGGGACATCCTCGTGAAGGAGCTGACCACGTCCAGCCCCGAAGGCTGCCGGATCTCCCACGGACATACCTATGATGTTAGCAATCTAGACCAGGTCCTGTTCCCCTACCCAGACGACAATGGGCAGAGGAAGAACATTGAGAAGTTGCTGAGCCACCTGGAGAGGGGACTGGTCCTCTGGATGGCCCCAGATGGGCTTTATGCCAAAAGACTCTGCCAGAGCAGGATCTACTGGGATGGGCCCCTGGCGTTGTGCAGTGATCGGCCCAACAAACTAGAAAGAGACCAGACTTGCAAGCTCTTTGACACGCAGCAGTTTCTATCAGGTAACACACCTCACAGTCTGTTAGAATGGAGGTGGCGGTGGGTGCTGGCCATGAAGGTCTCAAATGGCAATGTCTGCCTATCTCAGACAGAGGTCTTCCTCCTGAGATCAGTGAGCTCACCCAGAAATAGGGTTTCTGCATGATTCATGGCTGGCTTTTATCTGCCATGTGCTCTCCTTATTAGCAGAGGTCCAGAAAGAGGATCCATATTTGCTAGCCAGGAGAGACAATGGTGCAGGTTGATATCTTAATTTTTCATTATTGTTTCACTCTAGGATTTTGTTTTATTTGTTTGTTTTGTCAGAACCTATGTAGCTCAGGCTGACCTAGAACTAGAGATCCTCCTGTTTCAGGATTGTATATGTATTCCTCCACATCTGGCTAATGAGCTAAAATGTGGGCTTTCAGCGGCATGTGCCCCTCCCCCAGGAAGGTTCCACTGTATTGGCTCTATGCTCTCAGCAAGTTTATCTGCTGACACTTCAGCTCTTTAGGGGTTTCTAGAAAAATCAAAAAGGTTAGAAACACATTCTTAACATTTTTGGTTATGAGATGTGTCACCCTTATAAAATTGTCACACTGCAGGCAGGACCGAAGCTGAGCATCTAAGGAGCAGAGTCAGTGAGGGGGAAATTCTGAGAAGGTTTGCTCTTATCTGACATATGAAGGCTCCTAATCATGTTTTCCAGGACCTGTACTTCTTATGGTTTGAATTTTGACTTTGTGTAGCTATGTTAGCCCAGGGCTGGCTTATATGAAGTCACCAGCCACTGTTGGGTACCACCCAGAGGCCTTCCTTAGAACTGTAGCAGAGGATGCCTTTGGGGGAGAAGGCTGCTCTGCTGACTGCTGATAGCATCCCTTCCATCATATCCTGAGCTTTCTTTCTTCCCAACACCCTTTCCAAACAGCTCACACCTCTGGCTTTCCATGTACTTTCCTTTTCTTGAACCTGAACTTGCTTTGCTCCCTCTCATTCGTGCACATTGTGATGGTTTAAAATGCATGTACACTATGTTCTGGCTGAATTTCACTAATTAGTATGCATATCACCTTGCATATCTATCTTTTTTATTTTGGTAAGAATATTACTTGAAATCTACTCTCAACGTTTTTTAAGTTTTTTTTTTTTTTAAGTCCATGATTGGTCATGAGGATATACTATCATTGAGCTTGTGTCCAACAAACTCCTCTTGTCAGTTTATGCTCTTTGACCCACAACCACTTCCCACTTGTGGTGACCACCATTTGCTGCTACTTTTATGAGTTCGACTATTTTAAAATTCACACCGGAGCATCACGAAGTCTTTGTCTTTGTGTGCATGGCTAACTTCTCTTGGCATGATGTTCACCAGGCTCATTTGTGTTGTTACAAATGACAGGCCATCCTTCTTTTTTAAAGTCTAGGGATATTCCACTGTTTTATCTCTATCATGTCACATTCTCTTTATCAGTGTATCACTGGTGGGCCCTTGGGATGATGTCTTCCTTGTCTAAGCAGCTCTGACTGGTGCTGCTGAAGGGGGGAGTATAGCTGTCTCTCCAAAACCAATTTGCTCTGCCTTGGGTATGTACACAGAAGGAGACTGCTGAATTCTCAATGTGCTTCTTCCTTCTGTTCATTTACAATGAAGACAAAAAGCCCCAGTGTGCTTGGTACTAGTGGCGTTTCCTCTGCCTTTTGAGCTCTAGTGACCAATATTTGTTTAGGCTCATCCAAATCCTCTTCCATTTCCAAAAACAAACATGTTCCTTGATAAATATCCTCCCCTGAGAGATGAGACAAGAGAATAGTCTCAGGCTCCAAGGTGTCTCAGGCTCAGAGGCTGATGAAGACCCTTGGAACTGGGCATGATCTAAGCCTTGGCCAGACTAATCCTTTGCCTCTCTTGGGGTGAGCTCTAGTGTTTGTGGTCCAAGTCAAGGAAAAATAACTTCTGGAGATGGATAGCTACATATCCTATATCTTCCCTGTGGTCTGGAAGTCCTTGTGTGTGCCCTCCGGAAGGCTACCACTAACTCCCTGCTTGACTAAGGTAGCTCAGAACAGTGACAAATGGTAGTGACAGAGCTTTGAGGTACACTAAGACGTGGTGTGCCAAAAGGAATCCAGGCAGGAGGCAAGTGCCAAAACAGAGCGAACCACTTGGGCTTTAAATTTGCTTCCTAGGATGTATTAGTTATTAATGAGTAAGAGCTGTTTCCCTTTGTTCCCTTCTTCCATAGTGGGGCCTGTTGTTTTTGCTTTCCACAGTCTCCAAGCCCCAGAGAGGCTCAGGGAAGACGAAATTGTTGCAGAAAGGCCCAACAGCCTCTGTACCTAGGGATCCCCACCCAATGTTCTGGGAATAGCAGGCTGCGGTGGACTTTCTCAGAGAGTTGTATCACTCGCTACTCTGACCTCAGCCGATGTAGGTGTCTTCCTGGCCACAGTGCTATGCACTTTTACACACTGTGCCTAAACCATTGGGTTTGATTTAAATTCTGGAAGAAGAAAGAGAAAGAAACGCAGGAAGTCAGTTCTGTGAGCTTCTAGAAGCTCTTCAGTTGTTGCAGAGAGCAGTGGAAATCTTTGATGTCTACCCATTCAGGATTTGCACCCCACTAGGGACAGTCCCCATAGGCACAGTTGAGAATTCATATCTGATCAGAGCAGAGTCTTCATGGCTACTTTGTAGAGGCAGCTTTTTAACGTCAGTTCCTTCATGCAGACAAGACCTGGGAAAGTAGTGCCAGGCGGAGGAATAAAGGTTAATGCCAGTGATTAGATGTGGCTGTCTGGTTGTGCTGGAGGAGGAAGCCAGGGCCTTGTACATGCAAGGCAAGTGTTCTGTCCCCAGTGGCTATGCCCTCAGCCATGGGCAGGTTTCTTTTCAGCAATCTTCTTGTCTGTTTCCCATCTCTCAGGCAGGACTAGCCTCAGCATGACATCCTTGTCAGTGGAGCTTCGTTGGTCCCCTTTTCCCTGAATCATTCTGTCCCCAGAGTGAGATTGAAGCCTACACTGGTTCTCCAGTTTGGAGTTTTAAAACTAGTATCAAGTGGGATCCAGCTGCCAACAGCTGGTGCAGACAGATGCCCTTGGTGCCCAAACAACACGTGGCCTCCATGGTTAGCTGGTGAGGTTTAAAAATAACCCTGGGCCATCAGAACATTTTGATTCTTTACATGAAAATGTCTCCTTTGCCTGTGCTATTTGATTCAGCATGGCTACTTTTCTTTTTCTTCTTTGTCCTCTTCTTTTTGGCCTTGTGCACTTTTGTGAGTCTAAAGACTCAAGTTCTTAAGCTCGGGTCGTGTTCCTCAAGTATAATGAAGTAAAACCAGTGTCAAGTCAGGAAAACATATGTAAACTTGACCATGTGATTTTGTGTCTGGGGTCTGCCCTAAGGGCTGGACTTAGAGGAACAGAGCCTGGGCTCCCCCAAAGCAGACTCACACGTGGCTCTTGCTTTCCGTTCACCCACTTTACCAGGTGTCTGAACAGTTTTTTTTTCTTTGTGGGTTTTCAGAACTGCAAGTGTTTGCTCACCATGGCCGGCCAGCACCAAGATTCCAGGTGACTCTATGCTTTGGTGAGGAGTTTCCAGACCCTCAGAGACAGAGGAAGCTCATCACAGCTCATGTGAGTACCTGGTTACATCACCCTTAAATCACACGCTGTGGAGCTGTCCCTTTTAGAGAAGTGGCAAATGACGAGTAAATGTCAACTCACCTGGGAAAATAAATGTAGACCTTAAAATAGTGTAGGAGGAAGCAGGCCCCAGTGAACAACACAGCTCAGGGACCCACAACCTACTTCCAGCCAAATTCTGTCACCACAGAATCAGCAGGGTGGATGCCTTGAACCCAAAAACTCTGCTTGATCTGTATTCGTCTTTGTTTCAGATAGACTGTTATCTTCCCGTTTATAGGAATTTTCAATAGTTGGGACCAAGTACTGCACTCTGACATTTCTTCTTCTTGTGTGGTTTTTAAAATGCTGTCTTTTCTAGTCAAGTAGAACTTTCCCCACTGGGAGGCTGCCTATTGTATATTATGCTTCATAGTTCCTCATAACTTCAGATAGTTCCCAGGCCCACTTTTTGTTGCTGGACTTTAGGGAGTTATTTAATAGTTGGACAAGGGTCATGGAGGAGGCTGAGTCTTCCCAGGAATCCAGACAGGTCAGTCCATCCTCATAGCTAGGGTTCATTTAGATAATGTTTAGCCCTCACTTAATAATTAAAAAATAGTTCTGAATACCTGACGTTTTTAATTAAAAAATGTTACTTAATTATATATCTTGAAAAGTATGCAATATGTCATAAATGTTACACCCCAGAATATCCACAATATCTCAGTGCAAATGGAATATTAGCTCTGATAATATTTCTTAGTGGAACTTGAAGACCGGGTATACAGCTCAATGGAAGGCACTTACTGGGCAGTGAGTGGTAAAGCCCTGGAATCTGGACCCAGCCTGTGATGGGGGTTGGGCACTGCTGTTGAACATGTAGCCTCCCTTCTTGGTTACAAATGTAAAATCCAAGAAGAAGAAAAAAAAACAGACTGGAGAGATGGCTCAGTGGTTAAGAGTACTGGCTGCTCTTCCAGAGGTCCTGAGTTCAATTCCCAGCAACCACATGGTGGCTCACAACCATCTGTAATGGGATCCGATGCCCTCTTCTGGTTTGTCTGAAAACAGATAAAGTATAGTCACATATAAATCTTTTTTAAAAAATTATTTTTAAAAATGTTGCTTATCTATGCTAGATTCATCCAAATATCTGCAATCTCATTTGATATCAATCACCAGTGAGAACTGAGAAGATGCTCAAAGCAGCAAAGGATTATAGTTTTGCTGCTTCTTTTTTATTTAAATGATATCTTTTTAGTAGTGAGTAAATTCCAGCATAGATCTGATTTTAAGGTCTTTGGGTGCAATGGGACTCTGCAAAAAGGGGCCATCAATGGTCCTCTAGGCAAAGGTCCTCAAAATGCCACCATGAGCTCCATAGGTAGAAAACATGCATGGGCACACCCATGCACTCTCCTGGTTTTCTTATTACAGGCTTAATTCATATGGATGCTTACAGAAGAATTGTGTCAGTCATTATATATCAAATAACAAAAGGCTTGATTTATATATGACTGATTGTCACAGAGCACTCAGCCTGACTTGGTGAGACCGGCTTTGACTGGTGATGCAATCGATGCTCATAAACAAACTAGATCCATCAGAGCCAGCCAACCGCTGTCCTGTGGCTGTTCAGCTCTGTCTTCTACTTGTGACTCAGAGTTGTGTCTATTGCACAGCCATCTGGTCTTTCAGGGCGAGCCCTTCTATCAGGCTCATGAGCCTAACATTCACAGCAGTTTACTTAGCCTTTTAATTTGATCGTCTCACCCAAAAATGTCCAGTTAATTCGCTAAATATAAAACCCAAGAGGCAATTGGTTTCAAAAATGTCATATTTATCTTCAATTATAGAACCAAGAATTTTATTTCTAGGGTATTCTATTCCAGGTATTGTTAAGGGCAAACAAAACTGGTTTCTCAAATGGCTCAGAATGTGAACTGCTTCACTGTGTTATCCTATGCAGTTTGTGGCTTTACTCAGAGTCCTAGGGTCATTTCATGATGCCCTAGTTGTATGGTATTAAGAATATTCTAGTAATGTCATTTTTTTAAAAAAATGTTGTATTAAAGGTGGAACCTCTGCTAGCCAGACAACTGTATTACTTTGCTCAACAAAACAGTGGACATTTCCTGAGGGGCTACGAGTTACCGGAACATATTAGCACTCCAGATTACCACCGCTCCCTCCGTCATTCTTCTATCCAAGAGTGAGAAGCCAGCAGCAAGGATGATTTTGTTTCATTGTAAATACTCTGACAGGGCAGCCGGCTGCTGCCCTTTCTCTTTGGAAGGGCTAAGAAGTGGGTTGCCACCTGAAGACAACAACAGGGATTTGTGAGGAGAAACAGCTCCACCTGCTCAACAGAGGAGCTTGCCCCAGAAGAGCACCTGCCATCCAGGTCTTGACAAGTGCCAGTACTTGGGTGATGTGCCCTGGCTTATAACTGTGAAATTTGACCAGTGTCGTGTTTACATGTACTTAAATACTGGCTTTAGCCTGGTATGGATGGACTTTTGCTTGAAGACTGAAAACCTGTGCCAGCGTGAATCCCTGACAAGAGAAGACATAAATATTATTGGTCCGTTTCTCAGGGAAGTAAAATCTAAACTAGAGACTACTCTGTCCACCCACAAAGAGATGCCTTCTTGGAAAGAGGCACTATAGGTCTCCCGGATCATGTCCACTGAGTAAAGGGACTTGTTCTTAGGTCCCGTCTAGGCTATCTAGTCCTGATGCTGCAGAGTCTCTACAAGTGGACCCTACATCCTGTTTGCTCCCTCTTCTTGCCCTTTCCTAAAAGCCAGCTGGTGGACTCTTGTTGCCACATACTTGAGCCAAAAAAGCATCAAGGGCATATAAGATGAAACATGTTTGCGTCTCCTCCAATCTAAGAATGACTATAATCTACAATGTAGTTTTTGATGTATCCCCCTTTTTGTTTTGCCTCTTACTTTTTTTAGAATTGTTGCTTTTTTTTTAAAAGAAAGGGAAAGAGAAAGAAAGAGAGAGAGAGAGAGAGAGAGAGAGAGAGAGAGAATACTAGAGATAGAGTTTTAAAATTCTGTGCCATTTCCCCTTCTATTTGTTTTGTTGGCCATCAGTAGTCTCCATGGCAACACTGAACACTGGAAGGGCGGAGCCTTTGAGCAGGTTGGGAACTGTCCCGGACACCAGTGGTTCAGTGTACAGCTGCAGACTCAGTGGGCTGTTTCTGCTTATTTTGTATATTAGATGCTTCCTTGTGCCAATAATAGTTTGACAGAGTCTCAAAATTGCCGGCCTTTTCTAACAATACATTCTTTCACAGAACCCCAAAGAGTCTCACTTGCCTTTATAAATCGTCTGGTCCCTTATTTTCTTGTTACTGTTTTGTTTAGGTGGCTTCGCCATGCTCCAGGAGTTTTCTCCTACCACAGCATAATTTCTGTTTCTTCCAGGCTCAGAAAGAGTCAGCTGGCCTCACACACATGGCACTTACTTCTTTTTTTTTTTTTAACATGCCACTCTTAATATTTCTTCTTAAGTCTTTCAGCAGCATACATTGAATAAGCAATGGACCGTTAGAGTGTTGTTTATTTTAGTTTGTCTGTTTTGTTTTTAAAAAGGAGCCTTTAATAAATAGAATACATTACAGAAAATGGAAGCATTTTTCATAGAGAAGGGGAAAACTGAAAAACATTTTATCTTTTAATCTTCCTTGCTAGAATTATCTCCAAGAGTTCAGTCTGTTCTTTAAACATATTTTAGTTTTCAATACATATATGAAGTTGCCTTTTTTAGAGAGAGAGAGAGAGTGAGAGAGAGAGAGAGAGATGTGATGACACTCTTATGTACACAGCTATACAGACTTACCTCATCTTTTGAGTGGCATGTGGAATTCCACTGCAGTGTGCCTGGGTGCAGTTTAGACATCTTCTTAGCTACCTGTCATGAATGCATCCCAGCAGCCCACTGAGTCTCGTGAACTGAAGTCACTTATACATCTTATAGATGCAAAACATTCTGGGGTATATTATCCCAAGGAAAGATGAAGGCAAAATTGAGAAGCACTCTTTTCCCGAGGCCCCAAGCCATAGCTGTGCTCCTGGAGTGTATCAACCATATCTGGCACTTCACTGAGGTTCTTTGCCTGATCCTGTATGACCACAACTCTTCGTCCCACGTGCAGATGCTTCATTTCAATTGCCATGTGAGCTCTTTTTTCCCCCTTAACGTTGTGCTGCTTTAGCAGTGAAGCTGAATTTACTACAAAATGCTGTTTGGTTTGGGTCACCAATTCCTGTCTTACTTTACAGCCATGCATGCTGATGGCTTCCATCTTGAGGAACGGTTTGATAGGCAAACACTCCTGATACAGAAAGGATACCTCCATCATCCCTTGTTGACAAAATGGGATGCACACAGTAGAATTTAGTTTGTTCTCACTGGAAGATGCTGTTGAAGAGGTAGGCCGAGGAACACTGCATCCTAGGGAGAAAACATGCAAGTCTCACAGGTGTATGCTGTTGGCTTTGTTTCTGGTCCTTGAACAAGCATTAGTGTCTGGTTTAAAACTCAAAGCCCCAAAGCCCCTCTGTTGTTGTCCTGGACAGAGAAGTTGGTACAGCCCACCTGTAGAGATCCAGACACACTCTGGGATTGGAGCAAGGAAGGGCCTGCTTTATCGTGAGAACGCCAGCGCTGTAGAGGCCTGGGTGCAGCACCTGTGTGTGCCTCAGGCCAGACTCAGGAATGCTAGCAGGCTGAGTTTGGTGACTGATTAAGGGATATGTGAGGTGCCCTTGCCCTGTAGACAGGCTGAGTGTGAGCCCTAGCAGCAGAGGATTCTGGGAGTCAGGGTGTCATGTCCTACACAGGAAGAGCCTTCAATATTACTTTTAAAACTTACTTTCCCCTTGCTGATATTTTGATAAAAATCCAAACAAGGTTTAAATGCCCTCTCATTTCTCTCCAGGCAGTCTTGTCCATCCCACTGGTGAATATTTGTTTTGTTGTCGTTGTTATTGGTGAAAATTGTGAAATTGTTACGGTCTCTGTTTTTGTTATTTATCTCCCTAAATCACGTGGCTGCTGCATACATTGCAATGTTGCCACGAGCCTGCCCTACCACATACATCTTTTTGCCAGTTGCTTCTTCACTCGTTGAAGCCTGCGCAGTAAGTGAAACTCACTCAGTCCTTGCTACTTGCTGCTGCTCACTGTCACACGAATGCAGGGAAGGCTGATTTTCCTGGACTCATTTTCAGCGCTTTGATGAACATGTCTCCAGCGTATATTGAAGTAGAAGACGGCGTTTGGCAAGCCAGTTCTTATTAGACACTCTTCAAGGTGGACCCATCTCATGTGGAAGGGCATCATTGTCCCTCTGCTCCCATGCCCTGTGCACCTACTTCACAGTGAGAGACCTGCTGGGGACCAAGGCTCAGAGATCTCTGTCTTAGAGCTTATGCTTTGGATGTCTGCCATGTCTAAGCCCGACAGGAAAGCACTGTGCCATCCTGCCTCCAGTGTTGGATGGATAGGCTATGGATTTTGCTGTAAACTTGCTTCACAAGGAAAACTATGTGTTTTTAAATATTTGATAAATAAAGAATTTCTAGAAAGATTGACTGTGGAGTATATTTAATACTGTCCTCACAGCCCTTGAAACACTTCCTCTATCTGCTGGGTTCTTGGTGAGGCTGTCAGTGGCCTACTTCCTTCCTGGCTGCCTGTGAGTCCCTGAAATCAGATCTCTAAAGTGTTTAGCAGAGAGAGAGAGAGAGAGAGAGAGAGAGAGAGAGAGAGA